ACCAGGTCGTATTCAGAAAATGTAACTGTAGCTTTGAAACCATGGGGTGACCTTTAATTTTCATGTTTTATCACATATTTCACAGCTCTTAATATACACGGAATTAACAGTGCATGCCTAAGGCAAAGTAATTTTACCTTTTTATTTAATAAATGTCACAGATGAGACTATTTTTCCATACTAACAGGTCAGGTTTTTTATATCCAGGTATAGTAGATGTACAGTATAGCGATGGATGATGCAAGGCTGGGTTCTGTGAAATAGCTTAATAGCTATGCAAATGATTAAATACACACAGTTTGGAGAGTGGCACAATGTGCTAGTAAGGAACACTATGATCCCTGAAGTAAGTACTGACGGGTTTTATAGTCTGGGGTGGTGTAAACAGAGGACTTGCCAGCAGAGCAACCCAAAGATTAAAACTAATTAAGGAAACCTGGTAAAGTCATCAAAGTGCATAAAAATGAAATAAAAAGATTCCAGAGAGTCCTTACAGCAGAAGTACTGCAACCCAACATGAAAGAGATGCTTCTGGCCAACGTACGGTACATTTAGCTGCAAGAGAAGCCACATGGTTCTCTGCAGCAGGCAGGGTCAGTGCTGTCAGAGTTACCAGATTGAGCACGACCCTGTCATAGGGAACTAGACAACTGCTTAGGGCCCTGAGGCTAACAGGGGCCCCCCTCACTGTGCAACACAACACATCTGTTTTTAACTGGCACATTCACAAATTCACACATTCGAGTGGCTCCTTCTGTTGCTGCTGTGCTGATCTAGGCCACTGAAGTTTGCTAGTCATAACGTCTCCATGAAGTTATATCTCCGTAAAATGTGTGCTTCTTGTTTTTGTTTGTAAGTTATTTGTTATGTGTTATTCAAAGCTGGTTAATAAAAGTTTTCTAGTGATATAATTCATTTATTTAATTGTTCATAAACAGTAAAATACATTTGGGATGGGAGCTGATAACAGTAGTGTCTGTGCAAATTGTGCTCTGGAGGGGCCTCTTTCTAAGATCTTACCTAAGGCCCCCCAAAAGCTCGGGCCGGCCCTGACAACACAGGTAATGGAAAAGGTGGTAGGACCTCTGGTGGCAAAGCAAAGCAAAGCACAACCAGCAATGAAGAACAGACCAGTATCGGGAACAGGAGGTGTCCAGCTCCAGTTCTGGATCTGACAAGAGGTCGGAATATTAGAACTGCTGTGTCTTGTGATGGGATAGCATCATTTACAGTTTGTTCTATCTGTAATACAGAGTACTAATATCTTTATACAGTTCAGACAAAAACAAAACTACAGAGGTGAAGGGTTGCCTCCATATATGATATGCCTGTCCCTTATAACAGGCCAGTAGGAAGTATTCTAAATAGTAAAATGTAATTTAAACCTCCTTGTAAAATGTAAAGGAAAAGTGCTGCCATTCACCATTTTAAGATGAATGACATCTCTCTGAAGATGTATTCTTTTATACAGCTCTTGGTTATCTGGTTTGGCAATTTTTGTGCTGTTTTTAAGAGGAGGCCTAAGAGATTTTGGAGAGTTTTTACCTGCACAAGCACAAGATCAAATCCTAACTTCTCATTTTAATGTCTACATGTTTACACCCTACTGTATAGCCTGCATTTACATACTTTTCAATGTAATTTGCATAGTTTAACGAGGACTAAACAACAGCTAATCAGACAGCTGGCTCAGAAAGCCAGGATAACAGCATTCGTGACATACTGTAAGTCACTTTATGGTCGCTAGGGTTATGATTCTAGCTGCAAATATGGCACTGTTTCACCAGAGTGCACTTAATACAGTATATCCAGGCATCACCGTCTGATGATCCTAGTTGTTCAGCTAACTCTGATTTTGAAGGTTATTTTATTTCTCAAGTTAAAGGGGTACTGCAGCCCCAATTTCTCAGTCTAGTTATTAAATCTCGATCACAAAATAAAATAATTGACAGTACGGAAAAATGGACACATTTCTAATTAAGCACAAAATCGTGAGTTTTATGAAAGGACTGTATGGTTACCATGTTGTTGCAAACCCCAGGTCTCACCACAGGCGATAGTGAGAGTGAGTTCTTACAAATTGTGACGTGATGCGGCCGTTCCTGCTCACAAGTCACTGTAATGAATAATGTAATGTGATGTACAAGCGAATAACTGCAGCAGAAATGTTCCTACCTGATCTGCATGCAGAGTTAACAGATAAATAGTACTTGTCGGCAAAACCATCTCTAGGTAGAAAGCGATATTTCTATTGGATTGAAAGAGATGTATTCACAAGCCTGCTTGTCAAAGGGCCACTTTGCCTGACCGAAGGTTTTGTTGCCTCGTTCTGAATCGCAGAATAACACGCTTCACATACCTGGAAATGTAATCAATTTTGTGATGTGAATTGGAGGTTTTACAAGTTACTGGGCTGAAAAAAAGATTACTTACTGTAGCATAATATATTTGGGTTTGATAACTTTATTTTTTAAGCAAAACCTAAAATGGCAAAACTGTAGTTAAGAACTCCCATAAACCATAAACTGACATGAAATTATTCATTGTGTCATTGGGACAGTGAAGGGATTTTCTATACAACCTTTTGGTATTGTATTTTTAATATCATTCTACCCTCCTGGATCAATTAAACTAACTGATAGGGATAATCTGCATTATTTTGAATGAGATTGGATTGGATAGATTAGCTGAAAGGTGTGTATTTTGTCGATCTTTTTTTTTTCTGGATTAGACACTAATAACTGAGCATACTGTCTTGCTTTTACATTTACTGTTTGGTGCCTGAAGTCTAAATTTAAAATGAGAACAGACAAAGTTTCAGTTAAAGAAAAGCAGACAATTCTTTGAAAACTGAAAGGGTGAAGTTATCACAATCCACAGTTTGCAGAAGACCAAGACTACACAATTGTACCAGTACCAAATACCAAGAACAGAAAATTCAGACGAGAAAGGTTTTATGGACTGATTATACCAAAATTAACCTCTATCAAAGTGAAAGAACGGTAAACATGTGGAGACAATAAGGCACAACAGAGGCTCCAACCCCACCTGTGAAGCACTGAGAAGGTGATGCCCTTACTCTGGGCTTGAATGGACACACCTCTAGAACAGGCTCACTTGCTCACTTGTCTTTCATTAAAGATGATCACTTGTCTGTACTGAAGATGTAAATAAGGAAGGCACCAGCAGAATGAATTATGAAGTTTACAGAAACTTCATCTGCTTACAGTATGTAGAAGAAAATGCTTCCAATACTTTTTAGGTGGTGCTTTATCATGTAGCATCACAAAGTACCAAAACATGCAGATGATATAACTTCAATACCCAAATAAAGCCCCTAACTATTCCCCTGTGTTCGAAATTAAATAAATCATTTCACTTAATTCTTTTTAGACCACGAATGAGTTTGGATGCATTTATTTTTTTACCTCTAGAACAGCAGTATACTTATTAATCAAAGCTGAACACACTATTCCATATACAGTATTACCTAGCTAGAAAACTATAATTTCAGTTGAACTTTGTTTTAATTTCTATGCTTATATTTCCACACATTTTCTTTGAATTTGATTGCTTCCCCACATTGTCTTGATGACAAAAGTGAGGAGTCAACATTCTAATAGATTGTTTTCACATAATTCATTTTTTTAGTGTTAGTACTACCCATTTGTTATTGTTATAAGCTAGAGAGGGATGGGCGTAAACAACAGGATTGAAGAAGATTAAAAATTTCAAGTCGTGATACCATTTTACCAATCCAAGTATTGTATATCGTAAGAACTGTACAGAAAACTTGTTGGGAGAATAAAAAAAAACAAAGTGGCAAACTTAAAAGACAATTATTCTTACCATTGACTAATGCATCATTTCTTACTAGTCACAAGTGCTATATAAGTACTGCTCATGAGTACCTGGGCCCAGTCTTTTACAGAACCTTGTAAAAGATCTCCACTCTTCAAATGAGGCTTGAATACCAAAAAATAAACGTGGGACCTTATTTCTTATTAAAGATTCTACACAACACTAAATCATTCCCTAAATGTATCGAAAATACTGTATATGGAAAATGTCTTGCCTATTCCAAATAACATGTCACCAAATATAAAAAGCACATTATTTCTTTAGCTTTGTGGACACCACAGAAAAGATTCCCAAAAACGGGTGAAAATTGCAGTGTCCAGATGTGCAAAGCTGGAAGACTTACCCAATAGGCTCACAGCTGTAACCGCTGCCAAACATGTTTCTACCATGTATTACACCAAGGGAGGGGGGTGAATACTTGTGTGATCAGTTATATTCTGTTTTTTATTTGTGAGTTATTAAGAAAAAGCTTTAGAGTTTTTTTTTTTTATTCGACATTACAGAGTATTTTGTGTTAATCAGTGATAAGAAGTCCCATATAAATCTATTTTGGTTCTCCATGATATACAGTAAGGAAATGTGAAAAATGCCAAAGGGGGTGAATATCTTTAATGCCACTGTAAATTGCATAATCTTGCAACCTGTGTATAACGCAGGTTGTATTTCATTTGCTGCTGTATGCCTGACACAATTTAAGTCTCTTTAATCTATTCCACTGCTGAAACTGTTTGTGATTCTACCTACTGCTGTATTGTTCCTAACCTTGTCAAGTACAGTATACTAAGGACTGTACAGTACAGTATGCCAGGATCTGAATCATTGACATCATTTAAGAAGAGGGGTGGTCCTAGTATCAATTGCTGTGATACGCCGCTGGTACACTACCAGAGTCTTAGCCAACTCTTCTTTTTCTTAATCCAAGTTATTACTATTAGTGGGTAATATATACAGTACAACTTAGAAACATTCTTTGAAAACACAAAAAAACTTGTGAAGCCTTCCATTTACATTAACATGAAAAGAGTGAATGAATAGTGTGAAAAACAGACTGTGTGCAAACCATCAGGTAGAGATTCTGACTCACAAAGGTTCTTTTATTTGAGATGCAAAACCTTATTTTCTTTCTCTATTCACCACAGGATAGCTTTCCAGCTCGATTTGGAGGGATTCACTTCGTCAATCAACCCTGGTATATCCATGCTTTATATACCGTCATACGTCCCTTTCTGAAAGACAAGACAAGAAAACGGGTAAGAAGAAAAAGTATCTTTTGTCCTTCTTGCCAAGGATTACAGATTGAGTAGATTTTGTTTTATGTTTTATGTCCAGAAACTCGTTCACCAAAAGGTACCATTTTTCAGTGAAGAAACAAAAGTAGGTGTGCAAAAGTAGGTGTATGAGGCAAATTGTCTTTTCGTATTTCTTGAAATCTTCTCATTTTCAAGAAACCGTTATAGTTGGCATTTTTTGCAGTCATTACTAATATGACCTTGGTGGTAATACAGAATGACTTTGGTTTTAACTTTTACAATAAGCTATGAAAAACAGTGCTAATTAAATGGGACAACAGTTATCCTTAATTCGCCTATCACTAAAACTTGAAATATATATTCCTATAAATAATTAATTTAAAAAGACATTTACATGTCTTAATAATGTGTGACAATATTACCAATTCATCATAAATAAAGCTGGTAATAAAGTATAATTAAAAGCAAATTAAACACAAGTGTCTGATAAAACAGCACATGTTGTTGCAAACAGATGGACTGAGGGCATACTTGAACGTGTGAGCTGGAACAAATAGTGCTTTCTCACTGCAGTTCACAAATCAGCTTTGTTGGTCCAGGTACAGTATATGCCTTTAACATACCTTGCAAGGTAAATACAAAGAACAGATCCAAAAAGTGCAAAAAATGTTCCTACATTTATAGCTGATAACCTCTGATTAGTAATCTTGTTTGAAAGAATGCAATGTATTGGATGTGTTGTTTTAGAAGGATGTTCTTTCTTTAAAAACATTTTAAAGCTTGCATATTATTTTTAGCCTTTAATATGTGGTCGAAGTGCAATGGTAATGGATTGAAATGTGTGATTTCAATTAACAAATTAATTGGATTCTTAGCATAATCAAAGAGAAAAATGTTTTAATAAATAAGGTAGGCCTACCTCTTTAATACTAACAAATGTAGAAGAGACACCTTTAAAAATACATTGTTCACTGCTATTAGGAAACAAAAATCCTTCTGTTCTAAATTTGTCAAAAAAGGGGATGTTAGAAAGATCTACAGAAAATTGATATAAACTATAGTTGATGAGAATTGTTGTCTGTCAGTCTGATAGTAAGATTAGTTTGTCAAACTGTATTACTTTGGAAATTAACAACAATACTCGACATGACCAACCACAGGATTCCATTAATTTCAGAATACTTATAACCAACTATATTATTTTATATATTTTATTACAGATATTTATGCATGGCAACAATTTAAACAGCTTGCACCAGCTTATTCACCCAGAAATCCTGCCCTCAGAATTCGGAGGGATGCTTCCTCCATATGACATGGGCACCTGGGCAAGGACACTGCTAGACCATGAGTATGATGAAGAGACCGAGTACAGTCCAGAGTCCTACAGCCTGTCTGTGAAAGACTTAGAAAAAGACCTGTCTCCAAAAGCCATGAAGAGGTCAGTACTATATCATGACTTGTGTTACATATTGATGTATGTTTTTTAACAAAAGAACGGTTGGATTTAATCTGTGCAGATATTACAATCACTGGGTTTTAAAAAAAATATATATATTTTTTTGTAAAATCCTGACAGATGTTAAACTTTTTCCATCTGTTTCCTTGCTATAATTGTTTGGCAAATCAGATGAAGATCAAGCATAACTTTTAAAATTCCTGACACTAGTTTTTCATTTTTATTGCAGCTTGATACTTGTTTGGCTAACTTTAAACTCTCTTTAAAGAGAGTTTATGAGAGAAGATACAGACAATACCCACACCAAGCACTCTTTAAAGAGAGTTTATGAGAGAAGATACAGACAATACCCACAACAAGCACTGCATAGCGTTTGTGTTAAATAAAAAACAAAACAAAAACTTTTTAAACATGTTTTGGTTTTAACACACTTGCACTGAGAGCCTGTCCATGCTGATGAGGGAGTCAACTTCCTCCCATCAAATTAGTCAAAGGGGTTCTGAATTGGTGGCAGTAGTGGGATTGGTGGAGAGGTGCTTGAGAAAAGACTGTTATGAAGGAAAGTTTGAAGTTCTGTATTTATATTGTTGTAAGCAGGTGATTGGTAGGATCCCAAAACCTTAATTATAAAATCCTTTAATTGAACCTGCTACAGATAACTTGACATCTCTAAGAGCAGTTAACAAAAGGGCCTAATTAAGCAAATGAAGTATTTATCAGTGGAATTGGAACAAAACAACAGCAGAGTTGGGAAGGATTGTTCTAAGCAATGAAGTTGTTAAATGCATGCAAGAATATATCATATTAAACATATTAAAATAGTCAAATCTAGTTATATTGTCACATTTAATTAAATAATAATATAACAATACATAGAATCAAAATATTTGTTTTTGACTCCTATTGTTGGGTTTTATATTGTGCACTTTAATCAATCCAGCAAAATAAAATACCAGTAAGGTATCCGGGTACTTTATTAGAAATCATATGGGTAAATTATATCAATGAATATTTTTGGCAAAACATAATTAATTCAGACATTTTTGTATTGTCAAATCTTAGATGTCTTTAACAAACAAGCTGTTGTATCCATATTTTAAGACTTCTTTAAGTTTTTGTTTTAAGAAACTTAATTACAGAGATTAGATTATAGTCTCTGTTCCTATATTTTTGTGCATTCATTCAGTACAAATAAACTGATTTTATTTACATGGAACATGTAAAATAATGTTCCATGTATAACACGTACTGCACATAGAAAATAAACGTTTTTTATTTTAAACAAGTCTCTTGCATGCAGTGTATTTTCAGCTGCTGCACTATAGCGTGTCATTGTTTGACTTTAGTATTCAGCTCACTAGCACAAATATGACAGCAAAAAGCCTTCTGGTGTGCACAACTGTCACACCATTCTAGATCACTTGGGCTGATATGCCAGCTTTTTCATTCCTTTTAAAACACTCGAGTCAAGCTTAGGCAAGGAAAGCTCTCTTTTTAACTATCCATCCAACAACCACAGCTTTCTCGTCCTACTGAGGGTCCCTGAGACAGAAGCCTGACCCAGTAGGATTGGACTACACCCTGGACTGAATGACAGTCTATCATTCTATCGCAGGGCACACATGCGTGGACAATTTAGAGACTTAAGATGACTTCGCCAATATAATCTTTAGAAGGTGGAAGGAAAGCAGAGGAATTGGATAAAACCCACATGAACATATCGAGAACATGTAACATACTTTTAAACAGGAAGAGGGAAGCCCGCAATCCTAGTTATAATTGTTTTACCAATGGTGTTATAAATCAGAACCTAATATCTACTGTATACACCTACAGTATATTCATTTTTTATCCCTTTCTAAGATCATGGAAAAGATAAATAACAAGCAGCAATTTTTAGAAAAAAATATATAGCAGGTTTGCAGGTTGACTTTTGTTCTGGCCATGGATGTGTTATAACACTTCTGATAGTGTTAGCAATATTCTAATGATTTGTCTAAGGCTTTTGATACTATGGATCATTCAATTTCTCTGAAAGAACTTTGTAGCAATATAATATGAACTCCATTGCATGGTTTTCAGACTTACAAAACCTTATATAGGCAGTAAAACCTGATGGATTTGTTTCACATGTCTCCCTGTTACTGGCAGAGTCCCTCAGAGTTCAATCTTTTGCCCTGCTTTTTCTCCATCAATATTAATATTATTACTCAGCCATTAGTCATTAGCCTCCATATCAAACCCAACGCCAATGATATCATTTAATAATCTATCATCTGTGTCCAATTTGCAGCATAGTTTCAAAAACATTCAGCAGACTTCTCTGAACGTTGACTGCTAAACTCTGCTAAAATTAAATGTAAGCCATTTGATTAAATTAATTTCAGCTGCTACCTTAATAACCAAGATGTAACTTTTAATTTAACTGAAAATAAGTTTTATAAATGTCAAGACTCATAAATATCTAGGCTTCTGTGTGGATAATGCTTTAACCCTCACTACTCAAAATCGAGACTCATTTTACTTTATCACAATAATTCTTAACATACATGTTCATCCAGGAATTCCCTACTTTAGATATCCTTACGCCCGTTTCTGGAATATAGTGACATTTATAAATACTAAATACTAATTTATAAATAATAAATACTAATACTGCTTTTGAGAAATCTGATATATTACATCTGCCATAAGATCAATATTCTTTGATTAGATGGCTCTCACTGCATACTGGATACATGTTTCCACTGGTTTAAATGAATTTATAGATCATTAATTGGAAAAACGCCTTCCTGTCTTAAATAAAACATTGCAGATCTTTGCACCATTCTAGAATATAAAATCTAGCATTTTTATCAAGCTGAGCTTTACAGTTGCAACTACTGCATTTTGGGTGCATGTCCTTCCAGTTTGTTGCTGAGAGTGTCTGGAGCAATCTGCAGATACAGTACAATATCCATCTTCACTTAGGAGTGTGTTTGTATGAAAGTAGTATGTTGTAGTATGATCAGTATGATTTTCTGCCTGGTACTGTATACACATCTTGGCTAGGCCACTAAGAGCATGTTCTCAACTAACTTATCTGGCTTATTAAAATATTATTATTTAGATTTGTAAAGGTTTCTTTGATTTTCTAAACTATATAGTCACTTTTGTGATGATTGATTTAGCTGAATACTAATTGGTATTTAATGAGCAGTGAAAGCTACAAACAATGCCTGATTTTAGGCTTTTAAAGTGTTCTGACCTCACTTACCACCAAGGCTGAACACATGAGCTTGGTGGGCAAGATTTAACCCACAAGCTCTTTGTCTGACACTCCATCTTGAGATTGTATTGTCAGGTGTGAACAGATATGTCATGAAGTTTAACAATTGGTGAGCATCACAAGTTACATTTTGCTGTTGACACTTGTAACTATTGTACATTTCTATAGATGTGCTGTATAACATCATACTATGCCAGTTTCATGCTGAAAGGCATGAATAAGGCAGGAGGATTATTTTTTATTAATGTATTCTATTGTTTTGTTAATGGACATTTATTCATCATCTTGACAACATTAATATTGTAATTTGCTAAATTAATTCTGGATAATCTTAATCTTTTATGGAACTGAAATGTATAAGTGGAAAGTGGAAAAATGGAAAGATGTCACAAAAAATTAACTAATGGTATAATTCTCACTATTAAATGCCTAACTGTAGAAGACAACAACCTCACCACTTCAGAAGGAAAAAAAAACTACAAAGAGAAGCTAGTGATTATTTTTGGTTCCAGGCAGTTGTCTTTTACTTTAGTGTTCACAGGTTCTGTAATTAGAAATAAAAAAAGATTTGCTTCCGGCTTAAAAGATTTTATTAACTTGTTATTTTCAAAGCTGGGCTTGATCAAATCTTTATTGCCAGTTCTGTCTGTTCCTGGTGATGTTTTATAGGTTTTTTGGTGGGAAATTCACTGCTGTTGTTGGATTAATGAGAACGAGGATGGTTATATGTTGTTTATTCTATCTGTTCTTTTTTAGAAAGTTTAAAACAAATAAGAATTGCCCCACAAAAACAAACTAAGCATCAATGAAACTGAAATGTTAGAACTTTTCTCCCTTTTTATGTTGTTTGTGGTGCTGTTTTATTTGGTATCTTTTTATTTATTCACATTTTCTTATATGTCATATATATTTAAAATGCGAAAAAATATACAAACATAAAAAATCTACTTGATATGTTTGTCACTGAAAACAGTATGAAGACTAGCAAATGTTTAATCTAGAAAAAAATGTTATGCTTCTTAACAGTTATTACTCAGAATATTTTTATTCAATTTATCAGAAGACCATCAACATGCCTTCTTAGTGAGAGGTGGGCATTAGAATATTGGAATACCTTTCGACATAAAAATAAAATGAAAGGCCTGGCAAAAGTTATTTTTTAACTGACGCATCTGTTGTTAAAGTGCTGCCTCTGATTATCTGGGCTGCATATCCAAACAATGCTGGAAGTGAAGCTGGTGTGAAAAACCCATCCATCCATTTTCCCACCACTTCATCCAGTTCAGGGGCAGCTGGAACTTGTCTCAGCAGGCAACAGGAGCAAGACAAGCTGCATTCTGAACAGGACGCCTGTCTATTGCAGGGCAGACATACAGACAGACACAAACACACTCACACCTAGGAGCCATTTTCCCAGGAGCCAATTAACTTACCAGTATGTTTTGGGACTGTGGGAGGACACCCACAGAAACTCTATGCAGAGAGTGCCCCAGGTCTGGAATTGAACCCAGAGCCCTAGTGCTGTGAGGCAGCAATGCACATTTTATAATGCATTTACCATGCGATTTTTACTTTACTCTTATTCACTGAGGGCACCAAAGACCTACGCTAGTATACATTGATCAAAATTGGTTGTTGACCTCACTTTTGAGGTCACTCTAAACCCCACATCTATATGCATAATGGTCTGTGAAGGTGTTATTTACATAGCCTTGCCACAAACTTTACTTGTGCGGTTTTGATATTAATCTTGGCCAGAAGTATCGACCCACATAATGATTCATAACAAAATCCTGAGATTTTTTTTAAATTTAATGTAATCCACTGCCTAGTTTCTAACATTTGGATCCAATTTACTTTTTAGTCTTACTCCAAACCAAAGCAATAAATGCTAATATTCATCATTCATCACTTAGTACAGTGGTTGGGTTTAAAAAGAACTCCTTTGTGAGGATAAGACTTAATATATAAATTATAATATATATAATATATAATATATAAATTATAATATATAGTCCTATCATTTCAACTACAGTTTATGTTAATGAAAAAATTATTAGATTATATGAATTGGGATATGAACAGAATTTTATTGGCAGCAAAAACAAAAAATGTTCAATTGCACAGTTCAAGTATGGATCCTGTAACTGACCTTTGTATATGAAACACAAATTGAGTTGGTTCTCAAAATACTACAAGGTAAGAGATGTTAGTAGTAAACTAAAGGCAAATAGTAAACTGTCTGTTTACATTTTTAACTATAAGAATTGTTTTGCATAAGAGTTTTCTAGAACTGAAGGGTTCTTAATATTTATGAGATTTTGAACTTCAAAAGATCATTTAATCCCCTTTCTGTCTTTGATAAAAACATTGATGTTTGAGCACATAAAAAAAACTGCCTTATAAATGTTGACAATCATTTATGTATTCTTCCAGATCCCAGTCCGTTGTGGAGCCCGGAGTGCTGAAACGACCTGATAAAGAGAAAAGCGAGGAAGACAACATGCAGCCACTGCTCTCACTGGACTAAGGGATTTCCAGTCCCTTTAGTTCCAGAAAATATTTGTGTTTCCCCAGACACCAGGGATAGTACATGGGATGCTCCCAAAAAAGGCAAGGATGGAAGAAGTTTCAGAACAGAAAACCATGAACCAGGTTTTTCACTCTTAATAGCTGCTGCTCTAATAAACGTTAACAGAAGATGAGGTTTAATCTGGAGCAGGGGACACTTGAGCCGAAGATGAATGAAGAATTAAAAAAATATTGTTAAGTGCCAATTCAAACTTGTAAATACACTTCAGTTCCACACTTTAAAGTACTGAGTCACTGTAGCAGGAATATCTGTACAGACCGAGATGCGTATTCTGTATGTATTTGTTGTGAAATATTTTGTGACAAACTGTTGGTCGAAGGAAGAACACACGTAGGAAATTTGGTCACGTCAGTGTTCAACTGATCCAAATGACAAGTGCAACTCAGGATTAAAAAAAAATCATTTAAAAAAAGAAGGTGGACAAGTACTTTAAGAAAGCTGCCTTGTGAATAGAAAATGGAGCTTCTGATTCCACCACATTGGAACCCAGTGAACCCAGTCATTTCTCAACTTGGTATTACCTATCCACAGTCAGAATTGCTTAAGGGTATCAATGCCACTAGAGCATTTGTGCTAAAAAATAAATACATTCAGGTATCTGTTTCATTAAGCAGGAATCCCTTTAAGATTTAAGCCATATTATCTTTCAGATAGGGGAGGTATCTTAATCTTTCAAATGATACCAATTTTGAAAAAAACTAATTCTTTTCAAATTCTGATAATAAAAGGCAATACAAATACCACATTGAAAATCTAGCACGTACTGTATGTGACAGTATGTTTTCGTCTTTCTGCTGTGTCACTTAAAGTAAAAACATGCAATCAGAAATGTTAATCATAGAGCACTGCAGTATTAAACATACAAATACATTTTCAAACAACTAAACCTTTTACGAACGTTCTTTCATGATAGACTTAAGACGTTAAGTTACATATCTGTTGAAAAAGTTATTTGAAGATACTTCAAATAATTAGTGTTAGAACTACACCTAGTTTTGTGAAAACTATCACTTACAAAATAATACATTTTTACAGTATTATCCTATGCATAATGACCAGTAAATACATTAATATGATATCTTTTTGTTTTTTGAAAGTTTTTATTTTACATTTAGCTTCCATGGTTTTCAAATTTGAATTGAATTTTAAATGGTCGCTCCTTTCGTTCCAGACTCAACAACAGGTTTATGAATTGGCTATTTTCTGCTACTTCTCCTTGATAAATTCAAAGTTATTTTTCTGCATCCTAATTTTTATCATATACATGCCATCGAGAGTGGATATCCTTTTTCGTTCTTCAAATTACCAAAGACTTTGGTTTTTTTGTTGGAAAATAAAGGCTCGGCTTGACATGGTAGTATGAAGATGTTTTTAGAAAACTTAATTTATTAGGAGTAACAGAACTGTGGGCTTCACATACTGACAGACTGCTTTCAGCCTCCCAATAAGGGATATTCTTTATTCCATGGCTTGTGGCAGCCGCACCCTCTTATATTCAATATTCTCCCAACATGAAATCCTGCAGGACTGTGTTCATGTTCAGTGTGACTCAAATACCTAAATGGTGCACAGAAATACACACCATTGACTTTATCTCAAGAGATAAGGAAGTGACAAACATCCCTTATTTTGACAGTGACCATTTAATCTAGAAAACTTCTGAACAGAAAAGTGCACTGCAAAGTAGATGGAAAATTACTTGAAGACCAATTTAAAAATATTTTCTCATGGCAAGTTTTATGATATTTAAATAATAAATTAAACTATTGTGTTAAGTGGGAGTTTGTAATAAACAAAGAGATTGGCTTAAAGAAATGCCATGCTTTATTCTCGCTAAGCATCGAGCAAGAGTGCTGCTTTTCAGTCGTTTTTTTTGTCTGGTGTGGCTTAACACAAATTATGACCTCCTGGATCTCGCTATTGGGCATTGATGCTAAGCTGCCAGTTATTGAACGCTGGCTCTCTAATGACTGCCTTGAACACTGGAAAAAAGTAAATTGTTCTTGAAAGTGGAAAGTTTGAGTGGGACTTATCTCTGACTAATTGATAGTTGAATTTTTGGATTAAGATATAAAGAAAACTTCTAGATACTTGGATGAGAAAGGGTGCTAGGTTGTAGTGTCAGTGTTATATAGTATTTTTGACAGTCCTTCCGTATTAATAAAGGGGTGTTGACCAATGAAAAACAGAACGTATTAAGAACAGTGAAGAAACAATTAAGTATTAAGAGCAGCGAAGTTAAAGTCTGTTGAAGATGGTGGCAAGTCTTCCTGTGGACGTCTTGGGCAAGTCTTTTTGTTTATGATAGTGCACACGCTCAAAGTATTTCTTGCACAGGTTTAGTCTATTATTCCGAGAAAATTGTTCAAAGAGCTTAACGTCTGTGTTTTGTGCCATCAAAGACTTACCAAGACAATTCTTTGTTGTTTTGTGCTTCTTTTAAAATGATTATACTATTTAAGGGGATACTACTAATTGGCAATACAACTTTTAAAATCAGATTATTGAAAATATTTACCTGTATTACTTTTTGTTCTGTTCATGATGGCCTACAGATTGATTTTGAGTGGAAGTTTTAAAGATTTTAAAATGTGGTATGCATTTCAAATTCCTGCAGCATGTAGTTCACAACCTGGTCACGTGCATTAAAAGTACATAAGTGTGGCATACCGTATTGGATGATTTTCTGTTTAAGCAAAATCCATTCATCTTTACCAAAGCAGTTATGTTTATTAAAAGAAAAAAAAAAACAGATCATTGTATTTAATTCCATTTATAGGATTTCTTGACTAGTTTTCTTAATATCCACAAAAAGCAAACTCATACATGTTGGATGATTTTATGTACAATTACTACTAATTAGACTGTTAATTTGTCTTTTTCATACAATTATTGTATGTTTGAAAGGCCAAATATAACCAGTTTTAAAAGGTATAGTCAGTTTAAAAAACAGCACATGGTAAGTACTGTATACAGAACAGAGCATTGCCTGTGTGAAACCTGCATAGAGCTCCACAGAGTGAAACAGCTGTATATTACAATGAATGTGTGTGGGATGTTATACTGTATGTAAAAGGCTCATTATAGAGGGCCTGCTGCTTTACATGGCTAAGTTAAATCAAACAAACAACAAAAAATAAATATTGACACTTTTGATCCTTGTCCATTTTGTTTTTTTCTGTCACGTCTCTTGAGGATGATGCTGGAACCATCCTCAGCTACTTTCTGTAGATTTTCTATAGTGTCCAAGTCCGCGTCTGGGTCCTGGGCTGTAATCTGTCTCGCAATCCTTCCTTTTTCCAAAATTGTCTGAGTTCTCTAACTGGGTCTTTTTAAAACCCTCTTAACAATGGCTAATAACTCATTTTCACGGGGGGGAATATCTCTCTGATGTCTGGGATGGGGGCAGAGTTAATTGTTTGAGGCTCATTGAGAAACTAGCTATAGCCAGATGGCAGGGAATAACAATACACTGAGTATTTGCACCCTATTCCAGAGCTCCCGTTCCCAGTCACAGGTCTGGTCAGACCTCTCTTGTGATACCACAGGTCACCTCTAAATTGTGTGGTAAAAATGAGTGTCAGATCAGTGTCAATCACCTGAGATAGTACAGCAACAGACCCCCTCTCGGATGCAACGGTCTGTAATAAGAAACACAGCTCAAAATCCAATACCCTCTGGGTCCTTACAGAGGACTTCCTTCAGGTTAGTAAAGTCCTTTGCAGATTCCAATTGACCACTGTGGGATGAACCTCCTATACTAACCAACCAGACCTAAAAAAGACTCTCACCTGTGTTTTTGTCATGGGTACCAGCCAGTCTCAGTTGTCAACCAGGGATCTCTATGAGCAGAGGAATATCCAAAGCAGCTTTTCACTGGATTAGTGTATAAGGCAGCCTCCTCTAAGGAGTATGGCTTGACAGTGTACTAGGTGAGAGTCCCAGTCCTCACTGAAGATTACCGGCTGTCAAGGTACTGTATGTGGAGGCGTACGACAGGTGAGGACGTACAGTAAACGTAATGCCTGGCAGTGAATTGCTTTCTTCAATGATGTCCCGGTCCAGAATTTTCTGCACTTCCTGGCAGACCTCTTTGCGTTGGGCCTCGGGAATGGGGTATGGGGGTACCCTCACAATGGCTCCAGGTGGTGTCTTGATGTCATGTTTAACGAGGTTCGTGCACCTCGGTATGGTTGGTGAACACAACAGCATTCTGCTGTAGAAGACCAATAGCTGCCTGGTCTTCCGTCAGAGAGAGATTGGGGGAAAAAGAAATGGGTGTTTCAACTAGAAGAGCATATGAACAGAAGTGTGAGGAGGTCCCATCCTCAAAGGAAGAATCTCACCAAGGTTTCAAATAGGTCCTTCTGTGTACGGTTGGGGTGATATATTTTTTAAGTCACCAGACCCACCTGTCCGCGGATTTCTTAGGGGCCTTGCCAGTGAGCATAGACTTTACACCCCGTGGTGGGTAAGAGGAACATAAGTCTATCCCATGGGTGAAAGGTCCAAAGATGTGCTCGCAGATCGTGCAGTAGCCGTGTCACTCTCTCCTGTGCCCTCTTTCGATGTTCTTCTATTAGGGGTTTTAGGCAAGTAAGATGTTCATGAATCATACGGGCGGAGTGGTGGCACTGTGGCTAAGGATCTGTGCCTGTTGCTGGAAGGTTGCTGGTTTGTATCCCACGGCAGGCAGAGGAAAGCTACTCCATTGGGCACCTGAACAAGGCCCTTAACCCCGGCTGACCCTGCGCTCTGACCCCAAGCTTTCTCCCTGCCTGTGTGTCTCAGGGAGAGCAAGCTGGGGTACTTGAAAAGACCAATTCCTGCTGCACGAAATTGTACAGTATATGGCCAATAAAGTGATCTCACGTAGTCGAACAAATTGCTATTGTCAAGGATCTGAGTTTCACACCCTGGGCAAATGTTCAAGGTCAAATTCTTCCACGAGGGAAAAGAGACGACAGCACCGAAGATTTTTGGCACGCCCTCTCTTTAAAGCCCTGGCCAAATACAAAGACATTACGTAAAGTTATAATTCAAACTGCATTAAAAACTACACATCCCAGTTAACATGGTGCTGCTTGTGATCCTTGCGTTTAACCAACAAAACAGGACGAAAAATCAGTCACATGACTTTGGGGCTGAGTTTCGAAAGCTTAACCTATCAGCAACAAAGCGAAATCTACACGATAGGCTACCTCAAACTGTCAGTTACATGACTGTGTATGTTGCTTAAGCCACCTCTATTTGAGAGAAGTTGGTCCCAACCTTTTTGTTCATTCTGAGTGACTTTCTTCAACATTTGCTTCAGGGTCCAATCGATTCTTTCCACTAAGCCATCAGTTTGCTGGTGATACACCAATACATTTCCTCATAAATTTGATATTGAGAAGGTCAGCAGCTTCCTTCCTGAGGCGTGAGGTAAACAGGGTCCCCTGGTTGGTGAGGATCTTTAGGGGAAGCCCCGACTCAAGTGAACTGACTCACCTGTTCCTTTGCTATCACACTGCTGACCGACTGACGAAAGGATATAGCCCTGGGGAAGCATGTGGCATTCTCTACCATCACTAATATCTACTCATGCCCTCTCAGTGTTTTAGGAAGTGGGCCTATGAGATCTTTAGCAATGCATAAAAACGATTCTCTTTATTATTGGCAATGGATGTCATGGAGTGTACAGGCTGGGTTTAGAGCAGTATAACTCGCAGTCAGGACTAACAGAAATGCCTGACATCAGCTTAGACCCCTGGTGAGAAGGACCTCATTAATTCTCTGTGTCAGGTTTTGTTGACACCTAAATGCCCCCTAATAAATGTGAGTGGGTGTGTTTTAAAATGAAGTGTCAATGCTTTTGTGGTACGAGAAGCCTCTCTCTATTCTTGCCATTCAGCTGGTAGAGCAGTTCATCTTTAACAATAACAATAGTTGTCCCTTGACAACTGTTCCATTGATTTCCACGACCTGGGAATGAGTGTAAGATGAGTGTCATGGGAAGTCAATGTGGTGTCATGGGAAGTGAGCAGTTTTGAGTCCCATCTTCCAGGTGTCGAAGGGGTTAGAATATGGATCCTTTGCTCTTGAAGTTTTAGATCTGGATAGAGAAAAACTCTCAGGGTACATGCTTTTTGTATCGTCAGCCCTATCCTTTTCCTGACTGCACAGATCCCATTTTTGGGTTGAGATGACCCAAATTCTTTGTGTTTTTATGCCCTCTAGTGGTGACCAAACTTGATGTGGTTAAAGATGAGATGGCAAGATTGAACATCGAAATTCTGGGAATTAGTGAACTAAGATGGACCGGAATGGGTCACTTCACATCAGAAAGTCATCAGATATTTTACTGTGGACAAAAATCCTGCAGAAGACATGGAGCAGACCTGAGAGTAAATAAAAGGGTTTCAAAAACAGTGCTTGGTCTCACCCCAAGAAATGATCTCAATACGACTTCAAGGTAAACCAATCAACATTACAGTGATACATGGTTAAGCTCCAACTACAGATGCTGAAGAGAAGAAAGTTGAACAGTTTTATGGGGGTCTGCAGCAACTTCTGGATATAACATCAATAAAAGATATCATTTTCATCATAAGTGACTCGAATGCTAAAGTTGGCTGTCAAATAAACTATTGGAATAACTGACAAGTTTGGACTTGGTGTACGAAATGAAGGGGGTCATAGACTAGTAGAACCATGCCAAGATAATTCATTGGTCATAGCAAATACCCTCTTTCAACAGCCTAAGAGAAGACTCTACACATTGATATCACCAGATGGTCAATGCCGAAATCAGATTGTCTACAGTATATACTATGCAGACAAAGATGGAAGAGCTGTATAAAATCAGAAAAAACAAGACCTCGAGCTGACTGTGGTTCGGACCATCAGCTTCTTATCACAAAGTTTAGAATCAAATTAAATAAAACAGGAAAAGCCATTAGACTAAGTACATATGAGCTCAACAATATTCCACATGAATACCCAGTGGAGGTGAAGTACAGATTTAAGGGATTAGAACTGGTAGATAGAGTGCCTGAAGAACTATGCACAGAAGTTCATGATATTGCTCAGGAGGTTGTCATGAAAATATTCCAAATAGAAAAAAGATTAAGATTAAGCATAATGGCTGCTGAGGCTTTACAAGTGGCCAAGTTAAAAAGAAGAGTAAAAGGCAACGGAGATAGGGAAAAATATGCCAAACTGAATGCAGAGTTCCAGAGAATTCAGAGAAGCAGTTGTTGACAGACAGGTCTGGCATGCTAATGTCCATGATGGCACGAAGAGTCGGACTCGAATAAACGACAAAACACACAGTGGTGACCAGTGGAGCTTTGGCTTTGTGGATCTCCGCTGTGCCAAAAGTGCAACACAGCCCTTGACACCAGGTGCCTCCACATCCATTTTTATTCAGTCTGTGACACTGTCCCTTGGTATGATTAGCATTTGATAAGACTGATGAAATATATAGTTTTTGCAAAGGGAAGATATGTTACTTTTTACTGCTTTGTTGGTTTGCTTTTCAGATGAATTTTTTGCTCAAACTTGTAATTAGGTTTTTCTTATAGGGGAAAATTAAGAAAGTTTAAGAAAGACGAAATGGTGAAAATCTTTTCCTGAATAAAATAACGAAGTCCACACCTGCCACCTCACTTTTATTCACTGCATATGGCATCACAAAGCCAGACAAGCAGCTTTCAGTTATAAAAAAATACATGCAATGGATGGCAAATAATGGATTTTAGAAAGTCTCTCAAGCAATCAATTGTGCTGTGCATTTGCAATTCCCGTTGTCTTCTGGACTGTGTCTGTCTCTATTATTTGGTTCCTGCTCATGTTTTCTTGTCTTTTATTTTGAGAGGAATGGATTATTGTCCTAAAGTTTTTTGGTCTTGGCAATGCTCTGTCATGAATGTGACATTCAAGTGACAGGTACAATTAGTTTTTATTATTCTTTAATCTTGTTCTGTGGCAGTATACTTCAATGCTTAATTTATTTGCTATGTATTTAAGGTACTTTAATGTTTGTAGAAGTTCATTTCTTCTTTCTTCAATTTGCAAGCACACAATACGGGACCTCAGATTAAATTTATTTGACTGCATTAAACTATGCCTTGGAATCTCATGCTGCCAATAAAGAATTACAATACACTATAT